TGCTTACCTGTTTTCCTTTTCTGAAGATGTCTTGGAGTAATTCAGATTAGATGAGATTTAAACTTTTAAGATTGTGCTTACTTAGAAGAATGCTAAATTGGGGTGATTTGGCTGTAATCCAGTCCTTGGTGTTCAGTCCAGTTCTTTGTGAAGCATTTTCAGAGTTCCATTGTGCTGTAATAAATACACTTTTGTCACCTTGTTTTAGTGAATTATCTCAAAAAAGCTTATGAACATGAAGAAATGCACAACTTGAATATGATTATTTCGAAGTTTGGAATATGTAGTGAGTTGATCACTTCCAAAAATTAGTTTATGAACTAGAATTCTCACTATTGTAATCTTATGATTATAATAAGCGCAAAATGTCTCTTCCTGATTGTTTCATCTTCTTTATAATGAACTTTGCCAAGTGTTACATTTGTCTGTGGTTGTGACTGTATGAAGAGCTCTTCTAAGAAAGGGAATTGAACAGATGCCTATACTTCTTCAGTTCAAACCACAGAAAGAAAAGCTCTGCGTCTTGTTTAATTCATCACAGTTGAACAATTCTTTAAGATTTAGAGGTTTAGAGATTATCTTTTTATATTTAAGTATTTGGGTACCATATTTGTGGGCCAGAAAATGGCATGCTGGATCATTGGCTACAAGTTGTAGCTTGAGGTCGACTGATTATAAGTTATAATAACTATATTATAAAATTATAACTAATGTTTAGTGCTGTTAGTTCATATTCAATAAGATCATCATGTGATGAGGAGTTCTTAAAAACAGTAGTTTCTAAGAGGCTGATAGTCATGTTAAAATAACTGTTGGTAAAAGTGGAAACAGATAGGGTTGAATACTGCCACATTGGGAGGTCTTGCAGGGAAATGTGGTTTATTTTTGCAGATGAGAAATGTCTTGCAATAAAAAGCAATTTCACCGTTAACATGGGTGGCAGTGATAGAACATATGTAAATGTTATTTTACCTGAAGCCAAAACCTAGGAGCAGTGAGGAAGAAACTCACTAGACTCTGCAGGATTGTCTTGGTAAATTCATTAATATGTGGTTTCATTTTACAATGTGTCCTGAAGCCATAAATAATCTTTATTAAAGACAAATCATATTTACCAAATTTAGTAACATTTCTGAATAAATAGTGAATTTGACACAAAAACCCCAGGTGTACATAAGGCTATTTAATACGATAAGAGCCCAAGGCTTAGTGTATTAGCATGGGTGGAGGAACGAACAGTTATTCATGTAAAAAAATTACGTTTGTGTTCCTTCAACTAAATAAAGCCTTATAACAGTAAATTTTGACAAATTTGTCGACAGTTCTAATGAGCTCGACAGTAATTATTTTATATATATTTTACACACGTTTGTGCCTACATTTAACCATTCCAAAGGGCACCTGACCCCCACCAAAGGACATCTTACCTATCCAGGGTGTTGTGGAACTTGATACAAAAGATACCTTAAATCTCCAAAGGGGTACACTGGCTAATTAAAGATATCAATAAAGTTTAAACCTTCTCTTACCCAGGTCTAATCTGCACACCCTGGTTTCATGTCTCTGAGCTGCCAAGAACCAAATTAAATGGAGGCAATTGATGATTTAAATGCCTAACTGCATCCATGAGCCATGTATGTACAGATCCTGATTGGACTACATTCCCAGTCCTGCAAAAATGGGTAGCGCTGTGTTCAGGGCAAAAATCTGAGCCTTGGTTTTGGTCTTGCCCGTTGGTAGAACTTATGGTTCTGAATCAGCAGATCTTGGGATCAATATCCATCCCAGATAAAAGGCTGATACCACCATGTATTACTCAGGAAGTGCTGGATTGTTAAAGTTGATGTTTGATTGAGATATTAAACTGAAGACCCATCTACCGTTTGAACACATGTATTTCATGGCTAGCAGTTTTGAGTGTCCTATCATTTATTTATCCCTTGGGCATTATCATTAGAGGAGATTATCTGTGAAACCTAACTGTGCACAATATAGTTGTCACCTTTCCATCAATTACAATAGTAACCGCTAATTCAGAGAACTCAATTAAATGTGGAGTGCTGTGACATATCTTGTGGCTTTAAGAGGCACTGTACAAATGAAATTCCTTTTTAAATTCACACCATCATTTGTGTTGCTCTATGCTATGTAATGTTGACTGTTTGGCCTATTTACTGTGACCAAGAAACCCCAAATACTAAGTCAGAATAAAGAGCCTTCAATCTCGTGTTCGTATGTTCACAGAGCGTAACTGGTGATCGGACAATTAGATGGTACATTTTTACTGTTTTATCCTCTTTCTGCTATACGTACTTTTATATTTGAGGATGTGACAATTCTGCAGAACTATAAACAAGACAAGGAGTAAAATGAACAAGGGATATCAGCCTTGTGTGCATGTGAATGGCCTTCTACCTGTGCCATACAACTGTCTCTTTGCCACCTTCCCCAGCATCTCTATGGCCCTTTCTTCATATAGACTGAAAGGTCACAGCTTTGCCCCTTTCACAATCTGCATATTCTATCTTGCATTACTTTTGAATGCAGATGATTTTGTACATGCTCACTGATGAGAGCGTGACTGTGCTTTTAATGATAGATAAAGATGGAACATGACAGGATGTGTGCTTGGCTATGAGACTTGGCTGAGTGAAAACTGTATTATGAATGCCTTCTTAATTTAGTTTTCACGAACTGTTACTGCAGATGTTTGAACTAGGAAGAGTCGTGTGGCAGCTGAGGTCCTGTCCGCTTGTTGGAGACCTAAGAAATCGTGTGACTTTTTTTTTGAAGAAGCATAGTGAATTCTCCTAGCGTGCAGCATATTTCCACAACTGACAGCACCAAAACAGTTTAATGAGACATGCATCTAGATTGTTATCAGTGAATTTACAAATTCTTATCTTGTAGCCCATTTTGGGACGTTGTTAAATAAATCAGTCTAGAGAAAAATAGCTCTGGCACTCGATAAACAACAGGAGGAGGGACTACCGACCACCATAAATCAGTTCAATTTGCTCTCACATTCTTTCAGAATTATTTGCACAACACATTGGTACTATAAAGAAGTTGCCTGATCACTTACCTGGTAACAGTTGTTTAGGATAGTATTTGCCACTCCAGGGTGCCAGTTGTCACCTTAACAAATATATAAATCATGTAGTCGATGAAAAAGATACTGGAGGTAGTTTTTCATGGAAGGTTTTAAAAAGCTCTACAGCAGTTTGTATGGTGTTGGTGGTAGAAGTCAAAACAATTGATAACAACAATGTTTCCTGTTACAAAACCGCCAGGTTTTGCATAAACCATTCAGATTGCCTATGTAAACATTTTCTGCTGGTTCATTTGAGATTCCCTAGAGATCAGATTTGCAGAAGTTGGGGTTTTTCTCTATTACAGATTTGAACTGTTATTTTTTAAATTGCTAGACAGTATGCTTTGCGATGCAACATCCTGGTTTTGTTGTTAAAAAGCATTCAAAGTTTCAGAAACACATCAGTTTAGTATTTTATGTTCTACTTTGGCAGTTTCTCAGTTAAAATGCTAGAAATTTTTTTTTTTTAAGCAATTCAATTTCATTGTCTATATGGATAAATCACAATTATATCAGCAAATAACAAAGAATTGGGAACCTGTAATTCTCAATGTAAGTTCAATTGGAATCAATTTCAGCAATCCTGTTTAACATTTTTGGCTACTTAGCTTAATAAGTTGCATTCACGCAAACTAATACAGCAATTGCAAAAACAAACTTCAAATTAAAGAAAATGCCCAAGAAATTTGATAGCACCACAACTGTAATTCAGACATAAAGTGGGTACTTCAGCATCTAATACAGTAGATAGGGAGTGACAATGATCAGACACATGTATTGGCTGAGACAGCCCTGGCTATGATACCTGCTGGACTTTTTAAAATGTCGATTAAAGTATTCACATTACGAGTGTGAATTTGTTTTAGAGCCAATCTGTTAGATGTTTAAAAAAAGTCCGCTGTTATGGCTGAATATTTGGTATGGACCAGGTAAAACATTGAATGTAGATTGCAATCACGGTGAGAATGAAAAAGATAAAAAGTGAAAAGAAATGTGGTCAAGTGATTGGAGAAGACTGAAAAGAAATGGGGAGGGGAGTATTGCGATCAGTGAGTTTGGAGGTATCAGCAGTGAGTTAGAGATCTAGATTTTTTTCCTTGGTAATCCTAGTAATTTAATTGTTTCCTACCCCTCCAGCATTACTGTCATGTCCTATAAGTTTAAGTTACTGGGTTGAACAACGCCCTCTTTCCATTGATGGCGAAGGTATAACTTTCAGAGCCAAGCAAGGAACAGGATCTTCCTCATTTTGTTCACTGCCTTCACCAGGATCTCTAAAGTGTTAGCAGACAACCTGGGTGGCCTGTCTGGACTACTTAGAGAGTTGTTTTCAAAGGGTTAATTTGGCTCTTTCACCTATCCTTGAATGTCTGAAATAGCCAGTTTCCTGACAAAAACTTGTCACCTCCATGTATATGCAATTTTGTAGTCAGTCTTTCCTCACTCCATCATAGGGCATGCTTTTGAAGTCTGTGCAGACAGAATTCATAATGAACCATAAATTTTTATTTTATTTTGATTTAAAGTTTATTTGTTATATTTCAGTTTTTAAAATAAATTCCATGTATATGTTACTATCTTTGTTTCCCTGACTGTAAAATGATAAACAAATGATGAGCAATTGGAATGTTTAACTTCCTGGTGTGCCATCAGTGAAAATTCTTTAATGTGGTTCACTGCTTAGCCTGTTGGTTGACAGAACTGTTGCTGGACACTGGAGATCTCCTTCATTTATGACAGATCCAAATTAACTTTGAAAGACATGAAATATTCACCAGAGAGGTCGCTAGATCTTTGCAGACTACTTCCTTTGAAATTAGTGATGAGTGAGCCCTTGCACCTCACCATTGACCACATGGGCCCATTTGTTTTATTGTAGCTATCCTATGCCTGTTTTGTATTCTAGATGAAATATCTACACTAGAGATGTGAGCAGTATTGGGATCACAAATTATGGAGGACGGAGGAATAGCTTTTGATGCTTTGGAAAGATTTTGCAGCAGTCATGAGCAAACATTTGCTGAATTATTGGAATCATTTATGCACCTCAGAAAAGGTAAGCTTTGTCAGAAGGTGAGTCATGAGTAATGGATAAAGATGAGCAAAGTGTAGAGGAGTCAAGTCCACTTAATACACAAGTTGCAATTCTAGTGCAAACTATGTCCAAAGTTTTGTATGCTTTAGAAAGTGTCCCTCACCCTGGGTTTCTACTCAAATCAATTTGCATATTGCTTGCACAGATTCTGCAATGAAGTGGCATAATTAGGTGGCAAGTTAAAACGCAAGTTTAAAAAAATACGGTTTAAAAATTATTCTTTGACTTTTTCAAAAATTGAGACTTGATAAGTTTGAATATTGTTTAAAATAGGTCATCACAAAACAAATGTAAATCACAGCATCAATTCACTACTTGTGACTAACCTGATTTTAAACAACCTGAAAAAGACTCATCGAATATATACCAAGCTAGTTACTAAATAAATAGTTAGATCTGTCATCTCTGATAGATGGATGGATGACCAAACAGATCCTTTTGCAAATTGAAAACAAAATC